AATCATTGCTCTCTTTAATCACTATTTGTTTTTGTTTATGCGAATGCGAATCATGTCTCAATGCTTCAAGAGAGTTGAATCTTGCCCAGAGACGTAGGGAATACTGGATCTAGCACGAGGATAATAAAGACCTCTTGTGGGAGTGCATCTTTTACAGTGGAAGGTCTGGAGTATCAAACGCGATTGTCTGTGAAATATTCTTATCACATAACATTTTCTGACCATTCAGAGTCGCATGAAAAATGAAAATAATCTTGGACGGACATTATTTCTGTTGTTATAGTCCTGAATCATTCTGTGAAATTTGCTGTGAAATTTGTCTAATTCTTCGTAAAATTTCAAGACCCGAATATTCCAGGCCTGTAAAGAACAGCATGGGCACTCCATCTGGCTTAGCTGATCTTGCTGATCTATACGTTCTCGATTATGGTGATCACTTTTTTCCTTATGGCTTTCTTCAAATCCTTTCTTCGTGATTTTGTAAATTTACGACATATTTTAGCTCCATCGCTGAAGCATCTTGCAGCTGGTGTTGTGCTTCGAAATAACTATCACAAGATTTACGCGAAGTATATCCCACGTGATTTAAAGTATGTTTTTGTTTCTTTTGTGTTCTTAAAGTTATTACTTTGATCAGAAATATCAAAAACGGAGGATATATGATGTTCGGAGTCGGCCAGGATCATAAGTAGCCGTTTTATAGTTTGATGCGATTAGTTAGGGCCGCCAATAAAGCGCTCGCATGCTTACATAGCATTGGTAATAAATATTGATAATAAAACAGCATTGAAGAAGTATGTACGTAGCCAGTGTTCTTGGATACGGCTAAAAGTAGCAGTCAAGTTTCCGCTAGGTTCTGCTGATTCCACTTACCTTCTTTCATTTTGATTTTTTGTAGCCGTGAACTTTGGGCAATGACGACACCAAATGCGATCTCTACTCCTCTCACACAACGACACGACGCAACTGGATAACTCTCCAACATGCTTGCTTCATTGCGTCGACGAAGAAAAACTAGAAGAGAAAGTATCTAATTGATACCGGTACATCATATTATATCTTATGGAACAAATTTATGTCGCTATATAGTATCGCTCCATACATATTTTCGCTTACTGCTCAATCAAACTGCTTTCACTGCATCGTTCGGTTCTGCATCATCAGGAAACGGTTTC